GCACTTTGCTGAGGTGGCAAGAGACAGCAGAAAGATGTTGACAGTAGAGGTAGAAGGACCAAGAGACATGCACAAGACAGAGTGGTGGGCCTCCGCAGCCCAAACACGGAGGGAGAAAGCTGAGTGCCTGTGGGCAGGAGGCATGCCGGTGGAGTGGGCCACCTCGCTGGGCACCTATCAGCAGAGCTAAAAGAGCTTTATAACACTGCCAGAGAGTAAAGAGCCCAAGGGGCCACAGTGCCCAGAAGCCAAGGCCAGGGAGAAGGGTGCCTGTGGCAGCTGTCCTGATTGAAGAAATGTATCCTGAGTTGTTTTTGATCCTGAATTGTAACCACTTACCTCCCTAATAAACCTCATAATTGCTAGTATTATCTGTGAGTTCTGTTTGGCCATTGCAACAAATTATCAAACGCAGCAGAGAAGTAGAGAGGGGTATTAGGAGGGATGGTTGGTGTTGGCTGGGTCCCCTTGTCTGATGTTTGCATCACAGGAATTAGCCTCTGGCTGTTCATATGGCTCTTAATCCTGCCCCCTTTGTGAAGTCAGAGAAAGTCAGATTTCATAGCCATGCCCTTTTTGCAATAATGCTTCTTTCTCTCGTACATGTGTGTTTTTGACATTCCGCTAATATTCTGGAGCTGGCTCATGCTAGCTGGTGAGACCAACTGTTAACTTTTTAGGGAGCCAGTCGGGATCACACTGATAACTTGAAATTAGCTAGAAATGAACAATCATGACAAATGAGAGCCTTTGTGTTCTGGAAAGGCCATCATCAAACCAGCACATCACAGCTCCTCTGTGATGTATGATATATGTTAAAACATTTTTTTAAAAATCCTAAAACAGATTTCCCTTGGAGAGCATAAAATTTTGAGCCAGACTGCCTCCATTTAAACCCCACCTACACCCTACACTTGGGCAGGTTACTTCACAGTGCCTCAGTTTCCTCATATGGGGATGATCATAATCCCAACCCCACAGTGCAGTGGCTTTCAAAAGTGTGGCCCAAGGACACAAACAGATCCTTGTACACCAGTGTTCAAGGCACTATTCACAACAGCCAAAAGGTGGAAACAACCCAAGTGGCCATCCACAGATGAATGGATAAATAAAATGTGATACATACATACAGTGATATATACAAACAGTGAAGTGTTACTCTTCCATAAAGAGAAACAAAGTCCTGGTGCATGTTACAACCCAGGATGACGTCAGTCAGTCAGTGACAAAAGGACAAATTTTGTATGATTCCACTTATACGAAATATCTGGAATAGGCAAATGGATAGAGACCACATCCAAGGCACAACAATTGGTCTTTACTCACCGGGAGCAACAAAGGCAGGAACGAGGAGGGTGTGGAATGTGTGGCTAATTGTTTCCATGAACAACTGTCTCCTTTGCCATGACACCAGAACTGGAGGTACCCAGATACCATTACTGAACATTTTGATCAAAGATGTGTAGAAGAATCCCAATCAAAAGGGATAAAATGCTGGACAGAATTTCAAATTCTCATGTGTTTGGGTTCTCTAGTGCTGCTGTACAGACTGTGGTGCAATGAATTACTTGGTATGGCTTTTCTACCCATAGTCTTTGTAACTCCCATCAGACTACTGGGTGGGACCACGCCAGTAAGGTGTGTAAAACTCTGGTGTTGGAATTGGTTAGTTTTGTCACTCTGCCAGGCTTAAAATGAGCCCTCCTAGGAGCTCTGCTGGTGTAGTGCCTAAAGCATTTGACTGCTAACCAGAAGGCTAGTGGTTCAAACCC